ACATAAAACATAAAAAAAATCAAAAAACAAAAAAAAATTGACTTACCAACCAAGAAATTTTAAATCCTTTAAAAAAATATTTTTATTTTATCTTCTTCTTCTTTATTTTTAGAGAATTTTCTTTTAATCAGACTAAAAGATATGCATATATTATATAAGTCTAAATGTATAAATATCATAATAAGTATATGTATATATATATACATATTCACATAAATATAAATTTTATTAATATAAAAATATCTTGGACAAATTATTCAATGTCTTATCATTGTGTATACATGAATATAAACATCTTAATAAAAATTTATAGGACTACTTATAGCTATATCAAAAACAAAACATAAAACAAATGTTAAAAGGGATACTTAATAAAATACGAAAAAATGAAATATTTTAATTTTTAAAAAATATAGTTAATACCTAGTGCATATACAAAATTTAACTACTAGGATCTATTAAATTTTTAACAAAGTTATAGGAACTTTTAATCCATAACATTTTATAATAAAGTTTAAATTATTAACCTGGTCATTATTAAATTAAAAATCTATATTAAAAAACATAGTGGATTTGGGTTTACCTTATTAATATAAAAATTATAATTTCTTTAAAACAGAGAAAATATGAGCAAATTAATAATTTAATAATAATTAAAAATAAGAAATACATAAATTTTGACAAAACTGCATAATATGTAAAACGATCAAATTAATGATTTTGTAAAACAGGACATACTTTTACGATTTGAGTCAAAAATAAACATATTGACATGAAAAATACATAATCACCATAAACACAAAATATATATTGTTGTAATTGTATATAATATGACGTGAATGGTAATACTTGACGTGCTAATGAAAAATCTTCGTTTCTAATTTTGCGGAATAAAATAAATTCTGAAAATTCGAAATTTTTTCTAATCAATATCCAATCAGCTCCAGTGATGCTACTAACAGAATAATAATCCCCTCTATTATGTATATCGGTATCGGCCGATAAACGATAATTTATCGGCAAAATTTTGTGTTTGTATTACCAACATTGTTTATCGGTAAATTTTATCGGAGTCGGGAAAGCTTTTTTTCCCTGTATAGGAAACGTATTAGCTGGTATTATGAAAACGATAAATTGTCGGGTTTTCACCGATTTAAAAGCTGGTACAAATTTTTAGACGACAGATTTTTTTTTTGTAAAATCTTCATTTTATCAAGGAAACTGGTGTAATTAATTGCTTTTTTAAAATGTAAGCATTTTTTCTAAATTATTTTCTTTCAAAATGTTATTCATATATTTTATTTAGGAGTAAAATCGTAAGCAACAAAAAACAAATTGCGCGGTTAGTAGAAAAAATGGAAGAGGACTTAAACCTGGCAAGGAATGATAATCTGAAATTCTGGATAAACCTAAAAAATGTGTACATATTATATAAATAATAAAATAAAATAGGTACATAAACATACATTTTGTTGTCTAAATCCAATGGATTAGTTGAATCTCTTATATGTCGTCTTTGAATAGCTTGCGTTTCTTCACTTTCAAAATATAATGCACGTGACATTTTCCCGATATATGTATACTTTTATTTTACAAATTTAACAGAAAATAATTTTCTTACAACAACTTTTTAGCACATCAAAACCAAATTCAAAATAGTTTTAAAAATTTTTTGAAAATAACTTTTGAAAGAAAACAAATGTCATTAGAAAAAAAAACATTTTCTCCAATTTACAAAAATTTGTATGAAAAAGCTTCTTTTAATCGGTTGAAATATTTTTATCGGTATCGGTTCATAATACAGAAGAAACCCAAAACCGATGAGAACTGCCGATAATATATCGGCCGATACCGATGTTCATAATAGAGGGGAATATTATGAGTGATTATCATATTCTTACAATAAACATATTTTGCATATAATTAGGAGAAATTATTTATTTATAGAATAATAATTGAATTAAATTAATTAAATCAGTTAAGGCTATGTTTATTACGATAACAAATAATGGCAGTATGGCATGATTTTATTTTAAAAATTTCAAAGAATTCACCGTTAGTTTTTTACAATTTTAAGGTTTAGTTAAGGTTTTTATGAATTTGAAGTAATAATTAGTAGGTATATATGTATCTTCAATAAAAAATTTATATTTTGTTATCTTCCAATGACCATGGCTCAAAAATAGAAATTTGGATTAGATTTTTTTAATATTTGTAAAAAGTTACAATTTCAAATAGCCTGAGTTGCCGTCTAAAAAAAAATTATATGTATCAGAAAATTAAAATAAAAAAAAAAAAGTAGTTTTGGTGTAAAATTATTTTAAATTAACGGGGTTAGTAAATGTACGATTCATACAAAAGATTTTATTTTAGAAGTTAAAATTTATTATTAAAAGAAGTTGTCGAATTTGTGGATAACTAGGTACGAAAACTTTTTTATTGTCACCTACTTTCATAGATCTATTAATTAGCTATAATAATTAATTTTATTTATTAGCCAATTAATAAAATTTCTTATTCAATTTTCATACATAATTTTTGTTTCAAATATTTTGATTATTCCAATTCGATTATTACCATTTCTTCAAGTTCAAATTTTTATAAATTGAGAATGATTTTAAATATAAATGGTATCATATACATATATACATAATATTAATTTAGTACCAAAAGTATTTAATAATTAATTGATTATAAATCTAACTTTTAAACTAAATTTTCAAAAAACAAAAACAAAACCTTATTCAAGGAATCCATTATAAATAATTACCAAAATTGAAAGAGAAAATAAAATTGAAAAAAAAAAAAATGAATATACAAAAATAAAAATAAAGGAAAAATAACGATAAATATAAATATAATATAATCACTTCCTTGTACATATTATTTACTTGGAGTCCTTCAATAAATCTGTCTTTATATGAAAAGCGTATTCAGTTAGGTCTGGATCATAAAAATGACACTGACAGCGGACTTTACTTTGTAGCATTTACCTTTTTTCCTTATTTTTATAAGAGTAGGTATACATATCATATTGATGGAGTATAAATATGTATATACATATAATATATTTGTGTATACATATACATATGTATGTATGTATATGTACATATGTACATATAAATTTTTTTTTTCTTGTGAACTTAATATTTTTCATGAAGAAAACAATTTTTATTGGAATAAAATTTTTTTTTTTTTAACAAACATTAACCGTGTTCGTGTATAATGTACTAATGTATATAAGTACATACATACATAATAAATTTCTTAAGATTCTTTTCATTCTATTTATGCCTTATTTCTTAACCTGAAGTTGCTTTTTCATTATAAAAAAAAAAATTTTTAATACCCTTTGGTTGTTTTTATTTCAGTTAAAAATTCGTTCAATATATCTTTAAATTCTCTTTTTTCTTGCCGTTATCGCATATAGAATTTTAAAAAATTTAACAAAATCATAAATTCGTTTATAACATTTCTGATTTTATTATAATAAATATTAAGAATTTTATATAATTAAAAATTAATTTTATTAACTAAAACAACTACTTAATTTGATTCTGCCAAATTGAAAAGTTTTTGTGGAACTGTGAAAATTTTCCATTATATTTTTTTTTTCTTATATTTTACGCAATTATTATTTTAATTCATAACTCAAAGTTTTTTTTTTTTGGTTAATTTATTAGATTAACCAGCTAAAATTTCAAAATTTTAAGAAATCCCTGAATTTTTCTTTAAATATCATGGTATATACGAATAGTTATTAAAAATTGTAGTTTAAGTTGGAGAATTTGGAAAATTTTCGAAAGCAAAAAAAAAAAATAATTAATTAAATATTTCTAGCACTGAATTTAAATTTCACATTTATGAATTTATTTCATACTACTAAAACCTTACCTCGACTGGGAAATTTAAGAAATAGAAATTATGCACTTAATTATGTATCTGAAACAAGCATAATATATGTACCTACATGCATTTCGCCAATATCCTATAATTGAAAAAAAATTTATAACTCTCGTCATCTTTATTCTGTTCCTCTTTCTTTTGCCTAACTCTTTTATGCTTTTCTTTTCATTTTTAAAATACGATACACAAAAAACACGCAATGTCTGCAATTCAAGTGTTTTATTCTTGTTATACATATATATATATTCCTATAAATTTCAACATTTTATCTTAAAGAACTGCAAAGAAAATTAAAAAAAAAAAAGTAAATAAACAATAAAAATTGGCTGAAAAGAATAAAATAAAATTACAAGAATTTTGAGCGTTAACTATGAACTCAAATTCTGAGATGTTGGTTAATGTTATAAGGAAACTGGCATTTTAAATTTCTAACTACTTTTAGGGATAAATTTTAATTGCAAGTAATAAATTTTTCGCTTTTATACAAATTTGTATGATTTTTATATTGTTTGTACGTGTATATTATAATGAAAATTAAAACTAGTTACATATTATTATATATATCATACATGATTATGGTGGTACAAGTTACATATGTATCCCAAATGATGCACATTATCTAATTCTATTAATCGTTTTATTATATTTCTTTTTATAAAATGTATAATTGAAAAAACATAATAGAAAATCTTTATGACCTTTTTAGAAAAGCGAAAAGATAAGAGATTGTTATAACAGCAGAACTGTTTTAAAAAAGGAATTCAGTCAAGTTAAATTTTGTTAGTGCTGGAAACACATGTTTTAATGGTTGTTAAAAAATTATAAGAAATCATTTAAGTATAATTCCTTTCATTATTAATTTATTGTTTTTATATTTATGGATGGATTTCAAAGCACCACAATGTGTTAATGAAATAGTGTTTATTAGATTAGAAAATTTTTTATATTTGATTAGTTTATACATTTAAAATGTAAATATTAAAACTGAGAGTTTATCTATAGTTTTTCAAAAATTTTAAGAATTTTCTTTCTGATTCTTAAATATTTAAATTGTTAATGGGAAAATTTTAAATTAAAACATTATCAAATAAATTAACTTAATATTTTATTACTTACAGTATTCTAAAAAATAATGTAAATATAAATATATGTAATAATATAAGTAAGTGTGTATATAATTTAAATTATATGTTATAAAAGGAATACTTTAAAATAATACAACATTAAATTAAACATCTAAGAATTTGCAAATAAATGCGCCAACAATTCCGGTTCAGTCAATTCGATTTTATATTTCTGGACAATATCTTGAACTTTTAAGCGTCTTCTTACATGTGGAGGCTGATAACTGGAATTTGTTAAATTATATTTTTAATTTTTAAGTTATAAAAATCAACAATTCTATATTTGATGTAAAACTTACGAATCATTATCTAAACGTCTTCGTTTTGACATATTAAATGCAGTTTGTCTAACTAAATTTCCGACAACGCGCCGACTTAATACCATACCATCTACTAATGGTGTTGCGAAACTCATTCTTCCAACTGGACCTTGCAATTTCACTCGAAGCAAACCAGATTGTAATGCATGTAAAAATATTATATGACAATCACTTGAACGAATTATTTGCCCGGTTTGAGATTCTTCACCTGTTCTAGTATAAGGTAGTAAACCATCTAAAAATATTCAAATCAAATTAAAAATAATATATAATTTTTGCCTGTAATCATACCAATAGGAAAATTAATATGATCTTCAAAACTTTCCAACCAAACTAAAAATATTTTTGCTGAACTTTGGGCTTGAATTGTTGATTTTAAAACACCAGTTCGCTTTCTAGCTGGTGGAATAGGCTCTTTCGCTTTATCAATATCTAATGATAATGTTCTTGGTTTTTGATTTGCAGAAGGCTTCAAAGATTGCTCGGAAGTTGATGAAGAATCAGATTTATTATCATACCAAACACTTGAGTTTGATTGCGCACTTGAATTGATACTTTCATTTCCAACACTCGAATTCCATGAAGAACAATTACCATCAGTATTTTCTTGGCGCCCATTCCACTCTGTGGGTACAACAAACGCTATTTCTGAACTGACATCAGCCCAATATAATACCCTGGATTCTCCATTAAATCTCATATCAAATAAACCTAAAATTAATAATTTGTTGTAAGATATAATTCAAGTTTCAGTTACAACAAGCAACCTGAGGCACCACTCCGTTTTGAATGATCGTTTTGTCCTGATTTTGTTGCACTTTTCAAAGCCCAACTATTCCAAACAAAACCAGTCCATCCCGAATGCTCATCAATTTCGACTGGCCAACCCAATGTTTGTAACATATTCCAAAAATGTGGATCAATCATTCGGATATTGTCGTCATTCATATTGCCAATGATTTCTTGGCAATTTGATTGACCATTTTTAACATAAAATACATGAACTGTATCGTAAGTTCTGGGGCTTAATTTATCCAATAAATCCAAGTCATAACAAAAATTTTGTTTTTTTGTATCTAATGCTGTTAACAACCTATTAGTTGATGTTACAAGCTCACTTTCTTTCTTATTACTATCATCAAATGATAAAAAGCCGAAATGTGATAAAAACAATCTAGCTGCTTGAAATTCATGACAAATATTAGGTGGTACCGCTTCATGAGCATGGCTTAATCCGTCCAAAGAATTATCCGTCTCTGCCCACGCTAATTTTTCAAAAACATATTGATTTTCAAGCATTTGCTCAAGACGTTTAATTTGTTCACTTCCATATTCGTCTCTTATTTGATCCAATGTAGGTATTGAATAATCAGCAACACAAGGTGCGATTTTATCAACAATTTCTGGAAAAAAACGTTGATCTAATTGCAAGCATTGCGGCTGATCATTCATTGGAATTGGACGACCTGGATTAACAGCATGGTATTTTGTACCAGACTTACTTCTTGGTAGATGGCGTAACTGCATTGTCCAAGCATGGCGACCGAAAGGACCACGTATCAATACTAAAATTGTTAAAAGTAGAAGTACATATATAATACTACAAAATATTTTGTGCCAAGAAAAAACAAATTTTACTTACGTGTTACTGTGGGTTGAGGATCTTGGTCGTTACCTAACGGCTCTTCAAGAAGAGCTAAAATTGTAGAATTCTCAGTAACAAAATATTTAAACTTTTGAACTGCCATCTCTAAAGTTACGTCTGTAGTAGTAACTGAATTGCAATGTTTTACTAACGCAGTTTCATCTAGAAGGGAAGATACGGATTCAGGCCCACACTCGCTTGGAAAATAGCCAACTTGTTCTAAGATTATGGTTAATAAATTTTCAGCCGCATCTCGAACCCTCATTGAAACAGGTTTCAATTCCTTTTCATCCTTAAATTTAGGAGTATCACCCATTTTTCCAATGCTTTTTGATCCTGAAATACCTAACTCAACAACCTCAAGAACAATATTAAGGCAATCCTTGTCTTGTAATAGATACGGATGCTGCATTAACCATGCAGATGTACATTGGAAGGCAGCCACTATTGTACTATGCAAATCTTTACTATGAGCTGGAGGTGGCCTAGAACATTGATAGCAAATATAATCACAGATCCATTTTACCGCACGTTTACATTCTAATGCATCTAAAAATACAAAAAGATATTTGTTAGTCATAACTTTTATTGAAATATTAAACAAAAAATTAGATACTATGTATACTGAACTAAGTTTTAAAAATATTAATTTATTACCAGCAAATTTCTTGGCTGCATGTTAAATGAAGTTTTTAATTAAATATACAAAATTATATGCTTATTTTATAAATTTATTTTCTTTTTAAAATTTGTAAAAATATATCTGAAATTTTACCTGAATCTCTTATATGTAAGCGTGCAAGTCCCGTAAGTAATTCCAAAGCTGCTAAGGAAACATTCAAATCGGTTTTCCACGACGAAATCAAACGATGACAAACCAAATAAGTCGCCCGAACAAACAATGCATGAGCATTATCTGCTGAAAATAGCATCAAAATCATAAAATTTTAACTTTTCTTAAAAACACTTAGGCCAAAACAATTTACTCATTTATCTATAGCATATTCGCATTCTAAAAAATATTTGTAAATAGCAATATTACACATGAAAAAGCAAACCTTGCTAAACTATATAAAAATTAAACATATTCCTTTTAAAATTGTTACAAATTATACAAAAAAAAATTTACAACTTTTACAATGCTTTTACATAATTTTAAACATAAAAAATGTGTAAATTAAATAAAAAGTCAAAAATTAAAAAAAAAAAATTACCATAAAGTGAAGCAACTTCAAAATCATGTAATAAATCAGCTGGTATATCATCAGATATTGATAAACTTGGACAATCATGATGAGATGAGCTATCTCTTCGTCCTGCACCGATGCTAGCGCCAAGTGTAACAGTACTTTGCATTCCTAAACTAGAGTTACTTGCGCTTGCAATAGATGAACCGCCTTCTGAGCAAGCTGTTTTTCAATGCATATTTTTTTTTTCATATTATTTTTGTATAGAACATACAGAAATAAATAAATTCAGATGAAAAATAATTGATTTTTTGGAATATTCAATAATTTTAAAAATTAAAAATTCACAAAACTTGTTGAATTTCCATCGAAATAGTGAGTAAAAATTGAAAATTTGTTTAAGAGTGTGTAAGCTAAAAGACTAAAAAGATCTCAAATCGTTTTATTTTTATCTTTTAATTCAAATTATTTAACAGCCGCAGTTTTAATTTTAATTAAGACGTAAATTTGAACACAAGATTGTCTATCTGTATTTTATGAAAACGTGTTTCTCTTATTCAACATTAAGAAATTGTTGTTTATAACAAAAATTATACAATTTTGAGAAGAAAAAAACTGAAAATCGATAATAATTTTATGCTAATACCAATGCATAACGGAAGGAAAAATATAAAATGAAATTAAAACAGAAAACAAAAGCATAAAAAGGCTGGAAAAAAATTATTTTTTAAAAATAAAAAATAAATATGTATAACAAAATCTTAACAAACTTATTAAGAACTTTCAATACAAAATCTAAAAACTTTGTTTTTGTTACATTTAAATTAAAGAAGTATAGAAAAAGTGCAGAAAATTGAAGAAGCTCAACAAAAACAAATGTAGAAGAATTCTTCCAAATGTAAATTATGTACTACCAGAACAAAAAATCATATTAAAGTTAAGTTAGAAAAATTTTGAGATTAGCGCACCTGAACTTAACAAATTCGTTTCTGGAACCTGTGGTGAAGATGGTGTTTGCATTGATTCATTGCTTCCCATTTCACTTTCTTCATATGCAACTGCATCTTGTACAGTCAACAATAAACCACCTAGCAACATATGGTTATTTTGAGCATCAGTTTCAACTTGTAAAGCATTCATTAAAATATTTATCATACGCGGCTTTAATTGTGCGAAAGTTATCATTCTTAAAAAAGAAATCATGTTAATTTTATTATTTCACAATTATTTAATAAAATTTACCTATCCATTGGTCCGTTACTTAAATCACGAATTGGAAGTGTTTGGAAATGTAATGGTAATGTTAATATTGACAATAATATATTGATTGAAGCTCGTCTTAATTCTGTTTTATTTACTTGCATTAATTGCGATTTAATTTTTAAATTTTTTTCTGGTAATATTAATTCTAATGCAGATATAAAACCAGGTAATAATACCTGTATTCCATCTAAATCTAATCTAAATATATCTGATGAATTTATTAAAATACTTGCTAATGTTTCATCAAATTCTTTTGATTCTGTAACTTTAAGGCATTGTTGTAAGCCCATGTAAAATCTAGCTAAATACACTGGTAGTATTTCTTCACCCGTTTTCTTGGCACAAAATATTCTACATAATGCTCCTATAGCCTCAGCTCGACCTGATTCGTATTTATCAATTGTCAAATCAGATGGTAATTTTGTATAATCTATTAAAGAATTTGGTTGTGATAATGATATACTGCCTTTTCTATTTTCCATTATCATTGATGACGGTCTTCTGCTTGCTTCTGTTGCTTGTCCTTCAAATTATGAATAACAACATACGCATAAATAAATATAAGGTATTAACAGTTTAAGTAGACTATTGTTAACTACAATAATAAAGCAAAACACAACTATTTTCTTTAAATTTGTAAGGATAATGTTTTGGAGACTCAGCGCAAAAAATTTGAATTTTTACTTTTCATTTTTAAAAATGTTAATTTTTGAAGAAAAGCATACATGTAACGTGATATATGTACATACATATGTATTTCAAAAATTTTATTTTTTTCTCATAGTCAAAAATGGGTACTATACTTACTTTTAGTGTTCTGAATCCATGCATCACTACCAATATGAGCCGCTTCAAATAACCATTCACCAAATAAATGTAGAATACTATTACATTTTGGTCTGGAATTAGCTAAAGGTGCCCTTATTTCTCCAAGTATTGTTGGTATTGCTAAAAATTATGATAAGTTATTTTATTATTTAGTTAAGAAATTAGTAATTTATTTTATTTTAATTGTATATTTTATATACATGAGATACTGCTCGAAGAAGGTGGACCAGAATTGGGTGTTAATGGTGGATGAACAGATGAACGCGATGTTGTTAATCCAATTAAAGCAGCCTTACTCAAACCTAACCAATATAATACAGAAAATTTAGAATATTGTTATTAGATCCCAAAGTATTAAAGACAGAAAATATCGGAAAATAAAAAATTAAAACAAAAATGGTTAAGATATGAATACAATATTTTATTTAAAGCTGTACATGTAAAAGAATTATGTATGCGAGTATTACGAGTGTTATTCAAAACAAAAATTTGCTCCCTATCTATAATACATATACATATAAATTCGGAATTGATGGGCGGATATTATTATATTCATAGTACTTAATGTTAGATATAATCAGAAAATGCAAAATATTTTACAAACATCCAAATATGATAGTATTTTAGTTTAAACAGGTCTAAGATAGAATGAACTATATAGCTTACGATGTAAAATTATATTCAATGAAATATGATGTGAGAAATAAAATTATTTTTAATGGTAAATATGGTTTAAATTTTTCTTTTCATAAAAATATTTATTTTAATAATATAAATAAGTTAAAATTTGCTTTATTTTCATATTAAAAAAACATACATATATATTTCTAAATGATTCGAAATTCTACGCATTTATTGGTAAGTAGACTTATCAAAACAATTAATATTTAAGTGAATAAATCAAGATTTATGTAAATGTACTTTAGAAGATTGCTAAAGTATATATTTTATTAATATATTTATACAAAGTTATTTATATTTCTACATACGGTTTGAAAATTAAAAAGAACTACTCAGCTTAACATAAACGTCCTTTTAAAAACCATTTGAAGAGAATAATCAAGGAAAAATCTTTTACCATTTTGATTTAGTAAATTAAGTCGTAAAAGAAATGGAATATTCAAAATTTGCTTAGATAAAAAGTTGTCTGATATTTATTAACGTAGAAAACCTTAAATTAGGAATGAAGTTTAAAATTGCAGAAACTTGTTATAAATGTAGCATTTAATGCATTTTTAATTCAATTTTCTAATCATGAATTCAGTAGTTAATCACAAATACGTGAAACATAGCTACAATTTCAAAAACATGCAAAATCAAAACTTAAATTTCAACAAAATAGCATAAACAGAAATAATACACTTTTAACTAATATAACAATGCATTTGGAAACTTTAACTTACTCAGATCCAAAAACAGAACTAAAAGAATAACTACTTATCAAAATTTAAATAACTACCGTTACCGAGAATCTTATGATCACATTAAAATTGTAATTCTTACAAGCTCAAATAAATAATAATAATTGAACTTAGCAGATTAGCAGCTTTAATAAGAACTGTTTGTACTATAGTACAAATAAAAATTGTAACTTTAACAAAAAAGTAAAAATATTTTAGTTTTTAGTGTAGCAAAATTGTGTAATAACAAAACAAAATCCATATTAAATTATAAAAAAACATTATAAAATGACGTTTGTTTTTGGTTAAGACTGTAAGGAGAAGAAAATCAAACCCTTTTGCTGAGATGTTGATGGCGCTACACTAAAACTTTTCGCCAACCTTCTTTGTAAAGGAGGTGTTGGTGAATGTGGTGTATTGTGATCAAATATGCTATGACCACTAGATAAAGCTGCTGTTGTTGTTATAGGAGTTCCATTACTATGGTGACCTGTAATTGCCGATGCTGCTCCAGCAAATGCAGAGAAATGAAAACTATTTAATATTCCTCCACTTCCACCTATAGCATTAGTACTACTTGAAGAGGCAGTATGACTGCCTCCACTACCACCACCAATTGAATTAAAAAAAGAGTAATTATCTCTAAAGTAAAAATGACTACTACCACTAGATGTAATATGACTACCACTAGATTCACTTGTAGCACGCAATTCTAACGTCGACTCATCCCCGTGCTGTTGTGATTGATATATTCCTATATGATTAGAAATAATGGTTTAAAAAAAGAAAATAATTTATTTCTCGGTATAAAATTAAAATGTAAAGAGAATGAAAGTATGTTGAGAAGACAAAACAGTTTGTAATTAATCCATCTATAATTTAATTACCGAGAAAAGCGTCAACTTGACTGGATATTCCTTTGATCGCTTTTAAAAATATTTGTGGTAGTAATAGTAAACACGGATGGTGGTACGGTTCAATATTGTTTCCATTGTTCCTCATTAATGACCACTGAACAAAATGTTGCGTTTTGCTAATAAGATGCGGGGAGCATAATGCAACTGGACTACCAATAATTCGAAGAAACCTATACCAAGTTTGTGCTATACAATCATTTGTCATTCCAGCTGGAATCAACTGAGCATCTTCTTCCACTAAAATAATTTTAGTTTTATATATAAAAAATTTTACTAATTGAAATTGTAATACTTACAAACTTTTAATTCTGGAAAAGAACTTCCATATGAAAATTCAAGTAACCGTGCAGTTAATATCAAATTAACCCGGTTCCATTGCTCGACCAGTGTTATCCTATGTCGCCAGTTACAACAAGTTTCTTGCAATGTTTTCCACAAAGAGGGTGATGGAAAGCAACGCACACAAGCTAAGAGCCATACTTCAAACAAAACACTTAAAACACGTTCACACAGTTGATCTCCTACATCGTCTTTTACAGTAGGAGGTGCCAAAAGAATATCATTAATAGCTAACAAAAATAAAAGTAAAACTTCCCAAGTTTCTCTTTCAATTATTTGAGATATTTGTGCAGTTTGCTGTAAAGTTCTTAGAACTCTATGACATAGCACAGTTTGGCGATTGATAACATCTGTACCTGAAATAAAAATATTTGTCAATGTAATGTGAAATAATCAAGATATAAAATTAACTAAAAGAGAACATTTTATTAATAATTTTTGAAAGCAGGTATCTTACCATAATCCAAATACAAAAAAGTAAAGACTTGAAATATTAGTCATTTCATTAATCATGAAAGTATTATTTAATATAGAAGTAACTAAAAAATTTAAGCTTACTTTCTCCATGACGAGGTACAAATAAATTATGAAAATGGTTTATAATTTTCCTGCAATACATATTGGGATCTTCTATAATAGGTTTTGGAACACATATTTTTGGGTTTGGATGTAAAGCTGTCATCCATTCGCAATAAACATTTACACAGTCTTTAATTGTCTCATGCTCTTGTAGAGGAAGTGATAATCCATAACAAATAACATCCATACACCATAAAACCTAAAGAGGTAAAGTATACAAATTTTAGAAAGTACATTTATACACACAAATATATAGCTTTTTCGCCCACCACTTCAAGTGCAAATATTAATTTTATTACCTCTTCATCTTTAACCAAATGACTTGGTTCTGCATTCTGTGTTATTCCCAAATTCGATGCCAACTGTCGAACAACATTAACAGCAACTTCTTTTCCGGCAGAAGCTGGAAATTTATTCAAAACACTTTGAGATTGAGCTCCTGACGCATTCGATTGCAATGTAGATGAAAGTGATACCCATTCTGAATACATTTTGCAAAACAAGAAATAGTTTCCTTCAAATTACTACATTCATGCCCAAATAAGAAATAAAACGATTTGTATTAAGTATTATTAGATAAAAACTTAATATTTATAAATTTCTCTTTTCTTTTAAGAAAAATATGTAAATAGAAAATTTGACACGAAGCAAAATTAAGAGACGTCAATTTGTATTAGACAGAGATAGATATGTATTAACCTATAGGTGATAAGTAGGTGCAATTTTACCTCTGATATTCTTAATATACGTAGAATATTTTGAATATGTCAACTGAAAAAAAGTTACCTTTTATTTAGTTAAAGATGTTTATATAAAATTTTATTTAATCAAATCGTAGCTTGAAAACCCATAGAATAGATTTCATTTCAAATGCAATTACAAATGTAGAAATTAATAATAATATGTTAATGTTTATGCAAAACATTAGCAAAAGTTTTTGATTGACTTCATTTTATGGCATCAATTAAACAGGGTAATTGTTACACAATTTAATAATCATAACTTAAATACTGAAATTTTCGGTAATACAGTTTTATAGACATTTTGGAATAGACAAGTTACGTACAGTGTTCTTTGGACAATATTATTTTCGAGTTAAAATTTTATTCTACCCAAAATAATGAATAATGTGAACGCGTTTGGATGTATGCATACATACTTAAAAAAAATAAAAAAAAATAGGCTCTGTAAATTATGCAATGTATTTTCAAGATAATCTGCTTTTACGTATGGTGTTCAAGTAATATCCAAAACCCAAATATGTATGTACATATAAATACATATAAATAAATTGAATATACCTAAGTATGCATACATTATATTGACCAATTGACATATACATTGTGTCTACTTTTCATATTAATTCTTTAAGTCCTATGTGTATAACCGATATATCCAATTAAAACGTTGACAAAATCTCGTGCTTACCAGTGAAAAGAACACGAATAGGGTGAGTTACATTGTAATACAACATCTGCAAAATTTTTTCTAAAGTTCCATTCTCAAGCGATGACCCTTTATTCATCGACAATACATATGAATTTCGACGTAAGTTTCACTGTGTTTATGGGTGACCATGAAAACTACGTGTTAGTTAACACATTTTTCGTTACTATTTGAATTCTTTTTTCTTTTACGTTAACCAAATACATTATTTTCTTTTACATTAATCGAGAGTAGGAAAAAAGGAAATAAAATTTTGTTAAATTACCAAAACTTTTACAGTTATACATTCTAAATTTATTAAAATTCTCATTTTGCAATTACATATTACTCGTGTACAACATTAAAAGCTCAATGAGCGACTATTAATAGTCATTTAATAGCTTGACACTAAAAAATAAAGAACAATTAAATTAATGTTAACATCAATTGAAAACTTAAAAATATTTTTAAAATTACCTGAAAATTAAATTTTTACTTGCAGACACATAATTATATTATTTAAATGTGATTTCTAGCGAAATATTTATGTATAGACTCTGTAAAAGCACATATGTATGTATGTATTTCGTACAAAATTCTATGACATAATCCATTTTGAATACGGCCCTCATTACATACATACATATTATGTATATATTACAAATTCAAATATGTATAAATTACTGTTTTAAAATTAATAATTTTTTTGTACTTTCATGAATTACGAACTAATTTCATAGGTAAGTTCCTAAACAAAAAAAAAATAGTAAACAATTTCGTATATTTTCAAATTATGAGTAATAGAAAAATAATAATGGAAATTGACTTGCAATCATGATGCGTTTAATGAGGACAAATTATAGTAATTTGCAGGTAATTTATATATATATTATGCAAATATGTATGCTTCTTATCTTTATGTAAATATGTCACCATATTGTAGAAACAATGTCGTAGATGTTAAAAATGAGTAATGAAAACAATTTAAAATTATTTCACCTTAGGAACATATCATCTACAGCGAAGAAAACGTAAGTGATTGATTATTTTTCAAGGCATTGACCAAAAATTTGCTAAAAATTTTCAGACGTAGTGAAACCAATGGAAAACATTAAAGAATAATAGATAATGAAACATTTTTGAAATAAAAGCACATCATATAAATTATTTATATCTATACAATTATTATTTATTAATTGTACATTTCATATTAATGTGTATTTTAAACTAAAACCTAATTTAGACATTTAATTTACAAAAAAAAAAAATGGAAATTTTCAAAAAGGTACATTTTAATTCTATAAATTAGTTTTTAAAGTTTTTTTAAAATAAAAAATATAAAGAACTATATTTTTGGTTTTATTCACAAATTATTTCTTATACACAGACATACAATATTTATGTATTTTATTTTATTATAAACTTTCACTAAAAGCAATTTAAATTTATGGATTTTACGATAGGTGATTTTGGAAAACAAATTTACTAGTCCTCTATTATAATTATTATTTAATTATCTACAAAATATTACGAGTTTTTAACGAAACAATTTAACAAAGTAATATTATCATTAATGTTCCTATTGAAATTTTATGAAAGATCTTATATCTTTTATGTTTTCTTATAATTTCAAATTGAGAAACAAACTTAATTTATTATTTTTATTTATATCTAACAAATTCTATATGTTGTATTTTTTGAAAACACGAATCGATAAAACTTCGGAAAAAAACTACCAAAAGCAACTTTTCAGTCTTTCTTTTTCGATTCTTTTGTTTTAATTTCTTCTTCTTCTGATTTCTCTGTATTACTTACATTACTATTTTCAATAGCTTTGTTATCTTTGTTGTCAATCATTTCTCCAGAAAATCCAAATTCATTAATACGTTTGTGATCTACTTTATAAATCCATCTTTGATATAAAAATATGAAGAAAACTATATCATCACGGAAACAGCCCAATCTGTACATTGTAGGCATCTTAATTACGAATGCAAATATATCATCAATAAATGTATTCAAAAATTTATATGTCATCATACGCCATGGTAAATGTGCAACAGATTTTAATTTATAATTAATAAATAATTGCGGCGTCATCATTATAAAACCAAACGTTAATAAATAACCATATAGCATGTTTAAAATAAATGAATACCATCCTTTATGCTCATTATATATTAGTGAATATATAGAATATCCAATTAATAATGGAAAACATACCCAACCTAAATATTTAAATGCCAATTTGTCATATTGTTTTGTAGATGATTCAACATAAGATCCTTTATCGTTAAACTCAATTCTTGGTAAAAATCCGAAAATTTTTCTTTCTCGATCATATTTAATATCGGTTACTTTTTGAATTTTCCATACTTCGATTCCTAATCCAACAAAACATGATATCCGAATCATTATATTTGTTTCATTATCTAACACATATAGTAAAACAATCAAAGATTGGAATACTCCAAAGAAAACAGATCGCACTGATAAGCCTTCTAAAGATTTGCGATTATTCCAAAATTGAATATCATTTTTAAAAGCTAAAAGTTCAAAAACGGAATGTAATATCGAAACAATTATAGTTAAACCTAATAAGTATGGGTTAGTTTCCAGTAAAGTTTCTTTAATAGAATCTTGATCTTCATCGGATTCTTCAAGTCCACCAGTCATTAAATCCCCAAATAAATTTCCTGTAATGAAAAAAATACATAAGTTTGAAAATAAATCAATAATTGAAAAAAAAATATTTCTAAAGCATGAAATAATTTAATCATCTTTTCTAAAATATAATATCAAATCTATGTATGTATGTGTATGAATAATTTACCAGCTATACTATTATTCCAAATATAAAAAAAAAAATATACTTATTTGATAAAAAATATATAAAAATATTAAATTAATTCTTAAATTTTTTTATTCCATATTTCAAAACATCAATTAAATAAAACCACATTTTCATTACAAGTAAAATGATAACAAAATTTCCAGAAAAAGAACAAAGATGATAAATAAATAAAACCCTGTTTATAAATTAAAATTATAATCTAATCGGCTGAACAAACATCTTCCTCAATTTCATCTGATTCTAAACCTAAGATTAAAAGAAAAATTTATTTCACAGTATATTTTGCAATTGCAATTAATTTTCAATATTTTCTAAATAGAAAAGCCAAAAACAAAATAAAAACTTCACAAATCTACTTATTGTCGAATTACAAGATTCAGATAGTACTTTTGTTATAAAAGAAGCACTGCAAAAAGCATTTGCAATTTTTGTATTTGAGGGTAGTTATTGGCAATTTTTTCTTTCGCAAAATAAAAAGTTTTCATGATTTTCTTCATGTTCAAATATAATGCTTCATAGAGCATTGTTATTTTTGAAACTACATAAGTTATTCATAGCTGTAAATACGTGTAAAATAGTGTTTAATCACTTATACGCAAAAACATAGTGGCAATACAATGGAATAAAAAAACTTATCTTTTGTTAGTAATGAAAACCAGATAAAAATGATTGTTTATGATAAGCAAAACAATTTTTAAAGGTAATCGCAAACTTGAGAAAACTTACCGTTCCATTTATTTCTCATAGCCTGAGCAGCATATAGCTGCCACTTAAACATGCTCAATGGTTGAAATGTTACTGTTAAATCTAATTCTTGAGTAGTTTCATTCACTGGTTGATAATCTCGTAACATATTCCAATAATCGTTCACAAAAACAATTGGCAAATATGTGCGCCCATTATCTACAAATTCAACATATTCATCTAGTGGCTGCGGTATTGAACCTTTTGCCCAATTTGTTTGATCAACTACTAGATTCACAGTTATATTTGGATGCCAATGTGTTAAAATAGTGTCTTTTTTATTTAAATTCTTTTGTACTTCTTCGATTTCTTCTTGTCCCCCAGTTATCAAATTATAGTTACGTTTTGATTTAATTTTTTTATATTTACTCAACATACGATGAGTTTGAGATAGATATTCTTTGGCGTAATGTGGAGAAGCTGGATCAGGAGAACGACCGCTTTTTACCACATACGCATGTAAATATAACGACCCATTGTTCATTAACCGTTTGCTAGCTAAAATTTTAGTTGAATGTGAATATGTACCATCTCCATTCAATCCACCATACCAATCACCATAAACTAAATCATCTTTTTCCCATATTAAACTATTAGGATTTTTAAAGTCCACGTAATTACTATTCTCTGATACGTACACATAAAAATCAAAAATTGTTCCATTTTCAAAATAATTCCACGCGACTGTTTTTTGAATGTTCGCTTGTCCGCCTGCTGTCGAAACAGTTTGATTTGCGTCTTGATTGGCAGGACGACGGAAAAATGATGAAATGAAATAAATTATTAAAGCCCTTAAAATTAAAGATTTGGTAATTGCGAAAAATGATTCTAATTTGCTAACAGGTTGTTGCTGCTGATCCTGTTGCTGTTGTTGTGCATTATTTTCGGAAGTACTAACGACTCCATTCTGAAAAAATTCCATCATTAATTTATTAATTTTTCTTTATACTTACTGAAAATGATGAAACAATATAAAATTTTATATTTACATTATTAGTCGCTGCCAAAATAGTTAAATCTTCTTCAGTCATCTTAGTTAATTAAAAGAACTTCTAATAGCTTAATGAAATAAAATTACATTTGATTATTCCAGTATTATTAAATAATTTAACCTTCTATTAAGAAAAAATTATAAAAATGAGTATTCACTATTGTAATAACTTGACTTTCCAAAAACTTATGATTTGGTAGACGTCTTACTTTGACTTTAACCAGTGGTTGTAAAACATTTGAATAAAAGAGATTCCATAATCGACCGTATTTTTCGTGTAAAATACATAAACAAAAATTTCTACTTAATTATATTAATGGAATCATACATACAGTCGAATATTCATACTGATATTGTACTGATTTTTAAGCGAATGTTTGATTTTTAAATTGATTGCTTAGCGATTTTTTTCAGCCCTTAATAGCGTTTCTATGAAACTTTGCATTTTTTATAACTTTTAAAATACCTGATACACATCAGGATAAATCTAGAATATAATTACACATAAAATCTAATGAGCATTTACACATCAGACTTATTTTATATTTTGTATGTCAAACTTTTGAAAGAAATGTTTTATATAATATTATCTACATAATTGTAATCTATAAACTTACATTACAGATTTTCACAATCAGATTTAAACAGATTATACCTTAATTACACTTTAATTAAAAGACCTTAAATACATTTAAGATTTTCTTCAGATTCATATTTTATCTAAGATTTAATCTGATCCCAACTCGGTTTTTGTATGTAAAACTAACAAGGAAGAGTGATAAAATACGTAATGTTTTATAATAACTTACATAATTTTCTTGAAACTGAATCAAAAAAATTTATTATCTTCAAATTACATTTAAAAAATGTTTTACTATTACATCAAAAGAATAATTAACTAAAAATATTTATTTTGGTTTTGATTTTTTACGTTTCAAGTAATTCGTGAAATAAAATTCAATACGCGTGAAAACTCAACTTGCCTTCAAAATCCGGATTCAAATTATTGAGCGTTCAACTAAATAAAAAATTTATTATTTTTCAAAATAATTTTCCTGAATTTCAATCTGCGCGAAAACCTTTTTCGTAATGTATACTGGAAAAACTATGCCAATGTAGTATCATCTTAATTTTCTTGATTTTTCGAAAATATTTTGACAGTGACATTCGTATTTTTGACAGCCATACAATTTGAGTTTTCATGTTCAATGTTCATTCTTTTCGTTTGTCAGTTTTTTAAGAAAGCACACGTTTTAAAAGGTAAGAAAAATATTAATTTAATAATTATTTGAAATCCTAAAATTTTACTAAAATTTTAGTAGTAAAAAATTTTGTTAGTATTTCAATTATTATTTGGTTATGATGTTGTAAATTTTTGTAAAGTTTTAAAAACCAAACTAAATTTTGCATGTTAATTACGGATTCTTATTGTTTCATATAACCTAGATGGCGATTAAAATAATTTGTGTTTTTTTTATTTGTTTTGCAGGAAATCAAAATGCAAATTTTCGTTAAAACTTTAACTGGCAAGACAATTACTTTAGAAGTCGAGCCATCCGATACAATTGAAAATGTTAAAGCAAAAATTCAAGATAAAGAAGGTATTCCACCAGATCAACAGCGTTTAATTTTTGCTGGAAAACAATTAGAAGATGGAAGAACATTATCTGATTATAATATTCAAAAAGAGTCTACTTTACATTTAGTTCTTCGTTTGCGTGGTGGTATTATTGAACCATCTTTACGTATTTTGGCCCAAAAATATAATTGTGACAAAATGATTTGCCGTAAATGTTATGCACGTCTTCATCCAAGAGCAACAAATTGCCGTAAGAAGAAATGTGGACACACAAACAATCTTAGACCAAAAAAGAAGTTGAAATAGATATTTATCATCTATTTCGATGAAATTCCTTTTTATTAAATTGAGAGTAGTTTCATTCTAACTTTTCAGTTTCAATAAAATTTATAATTTGAAAAAGATTAAATTGTTTTGTTTATTCAATTTACATGATTACATAGTAGTTAGAAAAATGTAATTGTTTATCGTATTTAATGGGAATTAATTTCTCTTTGAATATTAATACTTTTACCAAAATGAATCAGTAACTATTCATTATATAGTTCACTTTTTGGTCGGTACATACTTAAATACGTGTTACTTGAATAAATTTCTCATTGCAGTTGTACAACATCATTGGTAAAGAAGTTGTATATTTTAATTACAATATGTATATTCAGAAGGAAAATAAATACTTTTATGTACTTCATTATTCGAAAATATGTTAGTAATTAACAAAAGACAAATATGTATTCTGCGGTTTCAATTGCTTTCATTTTTGTTATCCTAATTTCAATTGCAAAATTTTTGTTATCCTAAAATTATGCAATATTTTTTGTATTCTAAATAGTTGTTAAGTATTGCATATTTTTATTAATAATATATATTTTGAATGAACACCTTTATGAAGTCATGGTGTTCTAATTAAATCTAATTTTTTGAAAGAAGTAAGTTGAACATTTTACTCCTTAACACGTTCGCTACCATCGTCGCATATATGCGACGCATTTGTTCTTGCTTTTGAGCCCGGTGGCGCAAATCTGAGCCATGACTATCTTATCAGTTTTTGCTACGGTATTGCACTATTTTTGTGGCAAAAACAGATTTAATAGGTTAAGAATAATGAAATAACTGCAAAGTGTTCTTGGTCTGAAGATAATAACATTTTTTTTATTCTAATGCTATTAATATAATATTAAAAAATCCAATGCCATTTAAAGTCATTCCATAAGAAAAATTTCCATTGTCTGTAGTACAAGTTTTTCTTCTCAAGCTCCGGTAGCAAACGTATTAATTTTCGATTATCTTATTGACATATGAGGTAAATAATATGTATTTGAAACGTTGTGTTTTTAGAGCGAATGAAATCATTAGTTACATTATGAAAGTATCAAATTTAAATTTGATTGGAAAATCTGATGAAAATTAATGAAAAACTTTCAGTTGTTATTGTTTATTGGCATTGGAATATTTTAATTTTTAAAATTCACAAACTGTTAAATTTTTCTTTTTCACTTTCTCGCAGTTTACTTTTCATTTTAATTGCTGCCAATAAAATTAATATGCATTGTACAATAACAATACATAAAAGGTCTGTAGGTACCTACTTAATAAAATGTAAATCATAATATTTTTTTTTTTTTAATTTTTAAATCTTTTCTTTCATTAAAATATAAAATTAATAAAAAAATTAATGAAGCATATTATAATATAGAATGCATTCAATGTGAAAATAAAATTATGACAACATTAAACTAAAAGATTAAGCTGGAAATCGTTTCTAAAAAAAAAAAATATAAGTAAATTGTAAAATTTCATTAATAAGATCTACAAAATTTGTAGGAATGTATATACTATATGTATATAATTATCTAAGTATATATGAGTTCGTATATAATACCTTTTTTAAATATACAAAATATGAGCATAAAATATTATATGAATTTTCTACAATAATCACATATACCAAATATCATATTCTATTGTTGTACATACATACATACTATCTTTATCACTTATATATTGTTTTTTTTTTATTATACATATATACGAACACATTTAATTTCTAAGTTTTAGTTTAGGAAAAATCTCTTCAATCTTTTTTTAAATATTATCCATTCATGATTTATTTAAAACTGGTATATCATTATTATTTTTATTATTATTTTATTATACTATGAAAAATAACTATATATACATATGTATGTATTACATATAAATATTATGTATGTATGTAAGTTTGTATTTTTAAAGTCAGTATCATGCAGCCAGTTATTTTTTATCTAGCCAGTACCTCAAAAAATTTTTTTTTTTATGGCTTGTACCTTATTTTAAAGTAAGTACTTATATATCTCATACATATATATATACATAAATATATAATATGTAGGTTCCAAAGTCATAGTCATAGTATATATATGTACAATATATATAATATACATTAATTTTTATGAATACATATATATATATAATATAATATACTTAAAGCGCATGATCATATGAAAAACTTTTCATATATACAATATATATATATATATTTATGTATGCGCCCGCAAGTGTCTCTAATGAATCGTATATATGTATATAGTATGTACACATTATAATAGGAGTATTGTAGATAAAATCTTAAATATCTATGTACATAATATGTATAAACATGCATGATTCCAAATAATAAGAAGGAACTGTTATATTCATATATATTTGCAGCATGTTCATCAATATATACCATTCATAATATGAGTATATTCTAAATTATATATCCATATACATTACTACAATATGTAGTAATTATTAAGTTTTAGTTCAAGTAAAATGTATGTAATACAGAAATTTTTTTTTGTTTTATAAAATATTCTTGAAAGATTCAACAAAAAAAATATTGTTTTTGAATTTTCTTTACATACTTTGTAGCTACCATATACACACAGTACACTATACTTAAATTACGAAATTTCGATAAATTATTTACGAAGAATATGTTTCTTTTTTCTTTTCGAAATTAAAGAGAATATTTTATTACATATTTTTTGTAATCTCCAAAAAAAAAAAAAACAAAAATTAAAAAAAAACAAAAAATCTACGAAATATATTTTCTATCTATATATATATATATATATATATATATTTTATATACATGCGCTACATACTAACATTACACTATAAAATGCTGTTGTACACATAAAATACATTAAATACAAACTGGAATAAATAACAAAAACAAAAAAATATGTTGTTTTTCCTTTTATGCTTTTATTATCATCATTTTTATGCTTATGTTGTATTGGGTGTCTCTCTCTAAGCCTTTTTTCTTTTCCTCTTTTTCTTTTCATTATTTTGGATTTTCGAATATGAATTGGAAAAAAAAAAAAAAAAATAAAACGAAAGAAAAAGTACCAAAAACATAACGAAAATAAGTCGCAAAAAAAAAAAAATAAAAATTCTGGATAAAAGCTAAACTCTGGTAACAAACCTTAGACGCTCTGTGACCGTTTAACTTATTAGGTCGTTCGTTATAATAATTATAATTCATTCAGTCGAGGCGAGTGGAAAATCTATTTTTTTTTCTTTTAAAATTTTTTGGCAAAGAAAATATAAAAATATTTAAAAAAAAAAAAAAAACCAAAAATAAAAAAAAATATATTTTTTTTTTCCTGAGAATTTTGTGAAAAAATTTAATAATTAAAATAAAAAAAAAAAAACAATAATTATTTATTATTGTAGGTAAAAATTCTTCGTTACATCTTTGGTAATAATCACGATATTCGAAAAAAAATTAAAGAATTTAATTAATTAGAGAAAAAAAAAATTGCATACTTTCATAAGAATTTGTGTGTAACTTAATCTCATTTTGAAATTCAATAAAAAAGTTAAGAAGAAAAATTTAACAATTTTCAAAAAAAAGAAAAAAAAATAATGGTGAAATAAAAATAAGCAAAAAAAAATTTTATTTTACAGTATTGAGAATTTGAGAAGAAAAAAAAAAATTAATGAAGGAGAGAGAATAAAAATTATAATTACATGTAATATATATACACATATATACATACATATAAGTTTATAAACATTTTGTATATATGCAAAATTTGTGAGAAAAATAACTACTGTTTTTTTTTTATCGTGTTATTTTGTTATATTTTTTTTTTTTTGCTATTTCTTATGTTGGGTTCATTTTAGTATTGACGTAAAGGGCCAAATTTTCTATATACGTATATATATATATTAATATATATATATATATATATATATATATATATGCATAATATGCTCTTTCTTCTAAAATACAATTCGCCTATATATTATATACCAAATATGCCCACATATTATATATAACATTACCTATATAACATACCATATATACATATATAACAGTATATTATTTTTAAATATATCGCTCAAAATTACCAATATATTATTATGAATTTTTAGTGTATAATATATTCAATATTGTACATTTATTATGTATATACTAATTCTATATAACATTTTTGTATATTTTGTATAAAAATTTTTAGCATAAAAATATCGACATAACATTTTGTAGAGTTTTTTTTTTTGTAGCTTAAAATTTTTCTCATTACATTTTTTGTTTTGCTTTATTTTTTTGCTTTCTTACTGATTTTTCTGATACTAGATTTAGGTACCTATATAATATTCATACATACATACATGTATATGTACTGTATAGTAGAAAAGTTTTGAGAAAAAAGGTACCAAAAAAAAAATATTTATGTATACAAAAAAATAAATAAAAATAGAAAGAAGAAGAGAAAAAATTAAGAAAATGAAATGAAATTCGTAAAAGAGTGTAGATTTGTAGATTTTTTTTAGAAATGTTCATACTCATATATACCTATATATATGTATATAATATATATATATATGTATATATGTTATATATGTATAGAATATTGATAATAATATAATATGTGTATATAACTCTCTATAATATTATATAAGTGGGTACTATTCTGTATGTATAGAGTTATTTTACAATATGTACATATATATATATACAAAGTATATAGAACCCATATTTTCATTTTATTATTAGGTATACATAATATATACTTTACCTATTCTAGTATATATACAAATAATATATCCATCCAGATTTATATAAGTTTTCATATATATAAGTATTTATTTTTTTCACAAATTAATTAAAGAAAAATATTGAAAATATTTGGAAAAAAAAAAATGTATATATGTATATATATATACATATACATATATGAAATTTTAGAAAGAAATATTTAGTAAAAAAAATATTAAGTGAAGGATTTTTTTTAATATTATTATTCATTTTCTTTAGTGTTATTAAATAATAAATATATATAATAGAAACTGATTTTAAAGGAAGAGAAATTATAAGTATAAATGAATTAAAAATATTGCATATATATGCATATATTGTTATACTCTTAT